AAATCGGTTTGTTTTGAAACAAAAATTGGATGGACAAAGGATTTTATGAAAGTTTGCACTCTGCAATACATTCTGCATAGTCACTTCTCAAACTTGCACTTGATATTTTTACGAGCTCTGCAGGACGCACCGTTCGTACAACGACCTAGAAAATTAACATGTTATACCTCAAAAGTGTCTATAGTAAAAACAAATACTAAAATCAATGGGGTACGGAACAAAAATTAGTGTTACAGATGATTTTGTGAGGTTGATTACCAGAGCTTTGCAGCCAGTGTCGTTTTAAGCGAGCTCGTCATGACGCCCTGCTCAATCCAACTATTAAAAAAAATATATACAATGCTCTTAACTTGACAGCATTTTTCAACAACGATCATATTTTTTTCTATTATTTGTGTTTGACTATAAACGTCCATTCCTACCTAGTATTTTTCTCGAGCAGGCAATGCAGTTGTAAGCAGTCTTCTTTTTTATGTATAGACTACATAAATTAGATTTGTATTAATAATAGTAGCGGCGTACATATGTTACAACAAAGTACACCAAAGGTGATTTTCACTTCAAATCTATAACCTCAAGTATAATTTCATATCATACTGCTTGATATCAATCTGACCGTACCCCGGACTAATATGTATCTGCTATCCAACCCTGGACTATTCTCTACTAGCCCATATATTTAAACATTTCATCACGACATGCTCAAATGTATGTTTTTAAGATCCTATTTTTATCAAGTGTAATTTGATATCATACTGCTTGATATCGATCTGGCCGAACCCCAGACAGATATCGACCTGGTATCCAACCCTGGACTAGTCTGTACTAGCCCATGTTTTTAAAAATTTCATCACGGCATGCTCAAATGTATGTTTTTAAGATCCTATTATTATCGAGGGTCCGATACAAATGCCTTGCGGTGTGTCTAATTCGAAAATTAACCCTATGCGGATTATTTGCAATACAGTTCTTCCCCTAATCGACGACTGCCCATCACTTCATTATGCACTTCATACTGACAACAGATTGGTCGCAGTTTATTATCAGGATTATATATTTATACACAGTTAATTTAATCTGGTACATAAATAATTCGTCACGAGCACTAGAAAATTCTCACGAATTGATCACACTGCTGTCTAATTTCAGAAATATCAGCAAAGATAAAATTATATATTTTTTGTAAAATTTAATTTGGCAGTCAGTAGAGGTCTATTTTTTTATTAAAATCTAATTTGCTAAAAAGTAGAAGTCTAATATATTCCCTCTTCTGGGATTTTGATGAAACTTGGCATGATGGTAGAGTTGATAGTCAAAACGAACTCCTTAAAATATTATAGGCCTAAGAGAAGTGGAGTAATTGCAAAAAATAATTAAAGGCTCTTTCAAATCGATTTTGCTGATCAGTAGAGTTCTATTTTTTTGACAAGGGTAACTATCAGGTTTACTCTTCTAAGATTTTGATGAAACATGACATAGTGGTAAAATTGATAGTCAAAACCAATACCTTAAAATATTACAGGCCTAAGAAAAGTGGTTTAATTACAAAAATTAATTAAACTTCCTTTCAAATCGATTTTGCTAGTCCGTAGAGTTCTATTTTTCTGACAAGGGTGACTATCAGGCTTACTCTTCTGGGATTTTGATGAAGCTTGGCATGGTGCTAGAGATGATAGTCCAAAAAACCCTTAAAATATTATAGGCCTATGAGAAGTGGTTTAATTATAAAAATTAAATTGTTGAAAGTAAGATCAGTAGGATTCCAGTTTTCCTCCAAATCGATTTTGCTAGTCAGTAGAGTTCTATTTTTCTGACAGGGGTAATGTCAGGTTTACTCTTCTAAAATTTTGATGAAACTTGGCATGATAGTAGAGTTGAAAGTCAAAACAAACCTCTTAATATATTATAGGCCTAAGAGAAGTGGATTAATTACAAAAAATAATTAAAGTTTCCTTTTTAAATCGATTTTGCTAGTCAGTAGAGTTCCATTTTTCTGACGAGGGTAACCTAGGTTTACTCTTCTAGGAATTTGATGAAACATGACATAGTGGTAGAGTTGAAAGTCAAAACCAATACCTTAAAATATCATAGCCCTATGGAAAGTGGTTTATATAAAAAAATATAATACAGATTTTAAAGATGATCCTAGTAGTAATCATGTTTTCCTTTCACATCGATTTTGCTCGTCAGTAGAGTTCTATTTTTCTGACGATGGTAGAGTTGTTAGTCAAAACAAACCTCAAAAAATATTGTAGGCCTAAGAGAAGTGATTTAATTACATAAAGTTTCCTTTCAATTCGATTTTGCTAGACAGAGTTCTATTTTTCTGACAAGGTAACCTCAGGTTTACTCTTTTGATGAAACTTGACGTGATAGTAGAGTTGAAAGTCAAAACAAACTCCTTAAAATATTATAGGCCTATGAGAAATGGTTTAATTATAAAAATTGAATTGAAGGGTAGTAAGTAGCATTCTAGTTTTATAACAAATCGATTTCGCTAGTCAGTAATCTGGGGTTTCGATAAAACTTTGCTAGTGTTCTCTGGGATTTTGATGAAACTTAGCATGGTAGTAGAGTTAGTAGTCAAAACAAGTCTCTTAAAATATTATAGGCCTTAGAGAAGTGGTTTAATTACAAAAATTGATTAAAGTTTCCTTTCAAATCGATTTTGCTGGAAAGTAGAGTTCTATTTTTCTGACAAGGTGACCTTAGATTAACTCTACTGGGATTTTGCTGAAACTTGACATTGTGGTAAAGTTGATAGTCCAAACGAACTTCTTAAAATATTATAGGCCTATGAGAAATGGTTCGATTATAAAAATTGAATTGAAGGGTAGTAAGTTGCGTTCTAGTTTTATAACAAATCGATTTTGCTAGTCAGTAGATTCTGGGGTTTTGATGAATATTTGCTAGTCTTTTCTGGGATTTTGATGAAACTTAGCATAGTAGTAGAGTTAGTAGTCAAAACAAGTCCCTGAAAATATTATAGGCTTATGAAAAGTGTTTTAATTACGAAAATTAATTAAAAATTCGTAAAGCGTGACCAGTAGTATTCTAGTATTCTTATTTTTATATCTAGTTACTTATTTACATAGTTTGTTCACCAGTAGAGTTTTTTTTTTATATAATCCGTGCTTCTGATCCGTACTGAGCCATAAGATATTTCACTAAATACTGTGGCAAATTAAAAAATAATGATAAGATACAGTTTGCTCGTCAGTCCGGTTCTATTTTTCTTGTTTTCCTTAGTATGGAAACGTATGCACGCAGCCAAGTTTCCTTTTCTTTCTTTAATAAATCATGTAAAATCAATAGACTTTGATAAGCCTTGATATTAAATACTAAAATATGATGAGATATATAGGTTCATTATGTGTTTAGAATTTATAACACGTATGTGTGTAAACGTTAATCTTGATTAAAATTTTAATGAATGAAAGTAATTTGAATTCATTTTATTTGGCTCATTATTGTTTTTTTTAATATGTTTGTGTGTGTGTGTGTTAATAGTCAGCCTGATATATTCTAATGGATGATACCATTAAGTGTATTTTTTTTAATAATTGCTTCCCCAATTTGCACCCCAGAATCGCATTATCAGTCATGGGAACGTTTTAGGCACAATTATGGTGAGGGAGAAGGATACAAGATATATTTTCGTGTAAGTTAGAAAGAGACGACGATGGATGATAGTGTCAAAAGTTGCAAAATCACCGCCCGGCACTTAGGCGAATTAGATACACTAGCGGATTTACCAAACCCTGGTAATATATATATACTGTTATATACTTATTCACATATTTATAATTTGGGTGTCAATCGATTCAAAATGACTTGAGACTCTGAGATAATATAAAATCAGCAATTAGGATTTTCTGACGAAATCAATTTTTCTTCGGTAAGTTAATTATTCTAACAATTCTTTAACTCGCGCTGCGTTGTACTGCCTGAGTATCTTAAATAGCGTTGAGAGTTTTTTTTTGTATAACTGTACCAACATACGTTTTTGGCTTATCCTAGCTATTTTTTTTGAGACCCCAAATCCTTTACAAGGTAGGGGCACAAATACCCACAATTATGTCACTCGCCGATAAAAAGGTGAAAGCTCTTCAGGGCGCACCGTTTGTACTCCGAAGGAGAATTAGAATAAATTCATAATATATTGTTGACATAGGGATAGTATAACAAATGAATAATGTATAGTTTAAAAATCTACATATATATGAAAATAAGTCGGGTTTTCCTTCCTGGCGATTTTTAAACTCCAGAACGCACAAACCGATTTCGAAAATTATGTATTCGTTGTTAAGGTCTCGGGCTCCGCAAGGTTTATAGCTAAGAAAATTAGTGATGCATGGCGTCGTGCCCTAATGCAAATTGCTGGAACTTCACGCACCGTAATTAAAATTCGAATTAGTAAGTAATTACATTAGTGAGAATTATCAGAATTATGCTTAGTTAAGTCAACGAGCAATTCTTGCCGCAAAGAATAACAGAACAGAACAGAACAGAATTTCACCATTCAATAAAATTGTTGGCGATTTGGTGACATACCAATGATTCCGACACCAATCGCTTTGTGTTTGCGGGATAAATTTCAAATAGATTATTTAGAAAATCATTGTTTTTCACATGGGCAGTTATACGTTGCCTGTTCACGAGTTGGAAATCCATCCGCTTTGTTTGTGTTAACGTCAGACCAAAAAAACAAAAATGTGGTTTACCAAAGAGCACTTGAATAAAACGGAAATTTGCGGATTCACTTTCATTTACTTAGAGAAGTTCAACTAAAAAACACTTCATTTTGTAATCGAAATAAATTCATTACTGTTGTATAATAAAATCACATTTTTCCTTTACAATATAAAACAAACAAATATTTTTTTCATTTATCTCACGAACCATCTGGTGGCGAAACGGAGTTCGTCGGGTTTGCTAGTATAATATATATATATATATATATATATATATATCCACATCTACACATTAGTATCACTCACCATTGTGCCGCAATCTGCCTACTATCGCCTGACATCTACATATCCATAACAACCGCTGCATCCCTACAGTCCCATCCCCTGCACCAGCCCACCTTCTATTCCTCTCTCTGGTTAACAAAGGGGTGCGTGCGTATGCATCATTTCCGGCCCTGGTCCGATTCCTGTTTCCGGCTGATGCCGCTGCATGCATTCCTGGTCCATTGTCGACAACCTTCGAAAACTAGCAGAAGATTGTAATTGAGAAGAGGAGTCTGAAAATAGTAAAAAGCGGGGGGTAGTAACATGGTTAGATTTTAAGATTGTGAGAAATAAGATACTAATGTTAAATGCAGGAGCCTATTTTCCGAAAATAGAAATGTAACTCTAAATGATACGTTCCTATCTTCTTTATAAGTTATATAATTTCATCTGCCTAACATTTACTGTTCACTGTATCTTATATTATTTTAATTTCTGGCATAGTCAGCTAAATTCAATTTCAAGTGAATTTCTAGCATATAACTGTTCAAATGTTTTCAATGTCAAACAATGATAAGTGGTTTTTTTTGTAATTTTAGTAGTAAAAACTGTCAAAAATGTTATGATTTCAAGATTGAGAGAAATAAGGTACTGTTATTAAATTCCGGGGCCTGTTTTTCGATACAATAGAAAGGTAACTCAGTGTTGTAATGGCAACGCTATGTTACAGTCATCGGGGTAAACATAGAACAAATACGCGTTACACGGTTTGAGTATTTTCAGCGTTCAAAAGATGGTGCTAGTGTGCTTCAAATTCAGCACACACAGTTTAAAATACAGTCTCTCTAGATATAGTACACGTAAATTACCAATTTTATATTTTAAATATATAGTTTTTGAATGAAAAAAGTTTTAATTTTTCTCATCATAGATTTCTTACAACACATTTGCGATTTTTTGAAATATATTTGATACGCGTATATTTTGTTCTAATTTCATTTAGTCAAATTAATCAGGAGTGTCTTTTCTATATTATATATTCAAATAAATCTTATCTAGAATTGAACCTGATGGTAAATTTACGTGCTAAAGTTGGTGGCGACATCTATTGAAAGAATTATAATTGATTGTAACATCAAAGTGGCCGTGTTTGCCATCTATTTATACTTATTTAACTATGGTTACAGTCCAATCTTATATAAATTGTGTAGTAAAAACTGTCAAAATGCTAGGTATTTGCTTTGTAATTTAATTTGATAAGTCATGTTTCTTGATGTTTAAAACTAACCACCAAATAGTACAAATGCGAAAATAGCATTAGTTCTCCATATCACGCATGTTTATAGGTAAGTTCAACGGATGATGAAAATCTTTCAGGCGTTTTATGTTATCCTATGTTGCCATATGAGACAAACATATTACCGAGAATAGCATTTACTCTACGAGAACTCTACTGACAAGAAAACAAATCCTGATTTGTAAAAGTTGCCAAAAGTAAAATTTTTCACTGTGTCAAGTGTAACTCTATACGGATCAGAGGCATGGGCTACGAGCAGATAACACTGTTATATAGACGAAAATGAATCTTGACTGACAAGAAAACAAAATCCTGATTTGTAAAAGTTGCCAAAGTAAAATTTTTCACTGTGTCAAGTGTAACTCTATACGGATCAGAGGCATGGACTACGAGCAAATAAAACTGTTTTACAGACGAAAATGAATCTTGACTGACAAGAAAACAAAATCCTGATTTGTAAAAATTGACAAAGTAAAATTTTTCACTATGTCAAGTGTAACTCTATACAGATCAGAGGCATGGGCTACGAGCAAAAAAAAAAACCGTTTTACAGACGAAAATGAATCTTGACTGACAAGAAAACAAAATCCTGATTTGTAAAAATTGACAAAGTAAAATTTTCCACTGTGTCAAGTGTAACTCTAAACGGATCAGAGGCATGGGCTACGAGCAGATAACACTGTTATATAGACGAAAATGAATCTTGACTGACAAGAAAACAAAATCCTGATTTGTAAAAGTTGCCAAAGTAAATTTTCACTGTGTCAAGTGTAACTCTATACGGATCAGAGGCATGGGCTTGAGAGCAGATAAAACTGTTTACAGACGAAAATGGATCTTGACTGACAAAAAAACAAAATCCTGATTTGTAAAAATTGAAAAAGTAAAATTTTTCACTATGTCAAGTGTAACTCTATACGATCAGAGGCATGGGCTACGAGCAAAAAAAAAAAAACCGTTTTTACAGACGAAAATGAATCTTGACTGACAAGAAAACAAAATCCTGATTTGGTAAAAGTTGCCAAAGTAAAATTTGTCACTATGTCCAAGAGTTAACTCTTTACGGATCAGAGGCATGGGGGCTACGAGCAGATAAAACTGTTTTACAGACGAAAATGAATCTTGACTGACAAGAAAACAAAATCCTGATTAGTAAAAGTTGACAAAGTAAAATTTTCACTATGTCAAGTGTAACTCTATACGGATCAGAGGCATGGGCTACGAGCAAAAAAAAACCGTTTTACAGACGAAAATGAATCTTCATAAAAAAAAATTAGAACTGTACTAAGAATTAGAACTAACCTAATCGTAACTATTGTGAGTTGTTATGGCAACGCTATTGTTATGCTTGTTCTTGGTAGTTAAAAATTGTGAAAATAAAATGATTACTACATTTCTCTTACCTCAGAGCAAAGATTGTCTTTTATCGAAACTAAATAAAACTAAATTTATTCCCAACGTTGAAGTGTTCCAACGGTCAAAACGTATAAATATAAAAATACAAAAGCTATTTTATAACAATGAAGAGCTCTTCAAGACTCCTCGACTGCAGTCAAGAGGACATGTTACGAATTTTTCAAGTAGACATGTTACTAGTTTAAAAAATGTTTTTCAAAGGGGTATTTTAGAGTATTATACTGGTAATACATTTCGCATATGGCAATACTAATTCTATTGTTAAATTTACACAATAAAATATTTTAGTTAATACTTGTGTATGTGAAATATTTATTTTGGTAAATAATAAATTCTCGGATAAGCTTGATCTGTTATCTTACAGCAACATTAAAGAGCGAGAAAAAGTGAAAGAGTTATAAGATAAGACAATTATGGTGCCAATTCTCCGTTATTAAAATAGACAGTAACATAACATCAAAAAATGCAGTTATGATAACATTCTTTTTTTTAGGTTTGTGCGTTTCTAGGTTAGTTTTATATCTATACGTAGCATTTTGATAGTTTTAGTACCAAGAAAGCAGCGTAACATAGCGTTGTCATGGCAACGGTCTATTTAACCGGAGAATACGCCAACTCCATAGATAACAAGTGTAAATTAGCCAACTTCTTAAGATAGCTATTTGCGAGCTATTTTAGTACTAAGAAAGCAGCGTAATAGCGTTTCCATGACAACGCTATATTACGGTATATTTTAGTGGAGAATTGACCCCATATCGCTAACTTTACAGATTAAACAAGTATAAATTGGCCAACTTATTAAGATAGCTGTATAATACAGGCTGTTGATCAAATTCATACAACAGTTTATTCATAATAAACTAAAGATACATAATAGATAATTAGATAATTTGAATAATTAAATGATTTAATAGAAACTTTGTCTGATAACGTACTCAGATAAAATTTATTGGGTATATAATTCACTCTTTTGTTCAGATGTTTTCATCAAAATAATCTTATCTTATCAATTAAAGTAGTAAATAAAATAAAAAAGTGTCACTACTCCACTGCCATCTACAGTTGCTCCTCCATATCCCAAGTCGCCATCTCTTAGTTAAGTTTTAACAAATAACACGTTAGCTGAGAAAACAACCCCAGTATTTGACGTTCATTAGTACTTCAACCCGATATAGATGTCCCATGTCATTCACGTAGTATCGATCGATTACTACGTGTTACGCAAGGGTGCGAATGAACAGAACT